ATATATATATATATATATTTTTTTTTAATAATCCTCTATAATATCATCATTTAAAAATGCATTTAAATTTCATAAAACTAATCAGTGTATTATTTAAATTGTTACTTAATTTGTAATCTTTCTGCAGATAATATTATAATATAATACATGCATTTCTAAATTTCAAGTTTTATTTTCTAAAAAAAATATCACAGATTATATAGAGATTTTAAAAGAATTGAATTTAAATTTTCATTTTTTTAGAAATATTTTTTAATATTGATACAAATTTAATAATTAATTCTAATTAATTTCAATTCAGATGAATAAAATAATTAGTCTCTATATTCAAGTGAAATAAACTGAAGAATGTGCAGACAAACGAATATGTTCCTTTCATCAGTATCGCGGGAAAACTTGAAGGGGATTCGCAATCATGTAGTTTGCGATTCTCAGGAGGGAGTGGTGCACATGCATGAAATGAATACGAAAAATCGTAGAAAAGTTAGGGTGTGGTTAACCGTGAAATGTCGTCGAGGTCTTTCAACCCTTTACAAAGCGTATATTTATATGGAAATAAAATAATATATCTTTTCACTGTAAATGAATAATCTTGAAAACCATAATTTCTCTTTATCCTTTTTGTACTTGAGACACTTATTTAGACACAATAGCTTGATATTTCTTTGTTTTTATCCTAATATCCTGTAATCGGCTAACGAGTCTTTGAAAATTAAAATTAAGAGAAAATATTGATTTCTATTTTATATTTTTGAAAGAAATTTGTTCAGACATAAATTTTCAAAAGCTAGAATTATTAGAATATTAAATATTTTAAATTATTAAAGTATTAAATGCATTATAAAGATTATTTAGTGAAAATATTTGTTTGTTTATAAACTATTAAAATAATTTTATCCAGAGTTCTATTACATATTTATATGTTAATTTATGTTTGATAAATTGTGAAATGATTGCATAACTTTGAAAATATTTTTTATTTGAAATTCAAAGATTAAATGTTGATCCGTCATATTAGATTATCAAGAAACATCGAATAAATTATGCTTTAGATGGCATTAAGCCTTAAGAACTTATAATTGTAAATTTATCCTTTTCAAGTCTCTACAAGTCGATTATATGAAATAAGAATCATGGAATAATGAAAAAGAATAATGAAAAATTAATTAAGATCTATGATGCTTTTATAAAGGGTTGATTTTGTATGTCTTTTCACAGTTTTCTTTTGAAAAAAAACGATACGTGAGTGAAATTCTGATCCCTTGGCTTTCTTCACAATATGTTTTATCTTCAGGTGAGTGATTTAAAAATTCAATTTTTTGAGATTTTATAATTTTTCAACAATTAATTATCTCATTAATTAATTCTTTTATTTTTTTTAATGGAATGTATAGTCAAGAAAAATCTATCATTTGTTTGAATCCATTTGAAAACCAGAAATATCTTCAGACAATTAGTCGCAATGTATTTCATCTATTTCTAAAAAAAAAAAAAAATGAACAACTCTCAAAAGTTTTATTTTCAATTGTATTCATATTCTTAAATGTGATTTGAAGTAATGCACAATTGCTAACATTTAACTCAATGGAAAGAGTCAGATATTTAATATAGTTAATAGTCTATCCAGTGTGGTCTGTCTAATTATTATAATTAATCGCAACCTCTCTACCATTTCTGCACCCACGATGCATAAATCTCAATTCTCGTGCGATGGAGAGAAAGAGAGAGGTGTCAACAAATTATCTTGGGTATCCGTATGGTCTTGCAGACTTTGCGATTAATCAAGAGAGATGAATCACGCAACGCAATTGATTTATCGATTCGTAATCCCTCTGAGGAGTATTAGAAATGGTTAACGAGGGTGAGAAGAAAGAACTGTAATCAAATTCGTTATCCGTGAAATGATATAAATAATATATGAAATATTGCTCTTATGTGAGATTTGCAGTTAATTATTCGCTTGAGATACTTATTTGTTTGGAATTTTTAATCTTTTAAAATATTTAAAGTGAATGTAATGCATTTCTACTAGAATATACTAATTCTTTATGCAATAAGATTGTAAATATTTAATACACGAAGTTTTCATTGATTTATGGGTAATAATGAATTTTTATTGTTCACATTTCTTTCAATTATATAGTACTATTTTTTTTTTTTTTCACAGTTTTATTAAATCGATTTCCAGCTATGTTTTATGTAATTTACATGGTAATTGTAATCTCTGTTTCAAGATTTAAAAAGAACTTGCATCATTTTGGCTATGACAATGAACGTTAAACAATAACTGGTGAAACAATGGTGTAAGCTAGCTTTTCCTTTAGTTGGTAAATTTAAATAAGCAACAAGGCCGGTAAGAGAAGATTGTTTAATATTCTTCACGAGATTGTGAATCATTTTGCAATATTTCAAACATTTCCTAGTTTCTTCTTTTGATTTATTCTTCTTGATTGACTTTTAAACGAAGGTTTGTGATTCATTTCCTACTTTCTAGATATTTTTTCTTATTATATCATGAAATTATATATTTATTCCATAATTTCTAAAAATTTATGTTATCATATATATGAAGAATAAAGACATAAATAGGAAAAAAATTAGAAAAATGAAAAAATTTAATTTTCTTTTTTTTCTTATATTTCTTCAATTCAAATTTACTCAAATTTATTCAAATTTCTTCTATTTCTTTGATATCTTAAATATTAGAAATTAATTTTTTATAAATTGATCTTTAAATATAATAATATAATAATATCAAATAAAATGTTTATGATCTTCAAATTCCATAGTAAAAATGAATTTTTTTAAACTAAGATCTTAAAATATTCCACGCTGCATTTCTTCAACTGATTGATATTTCCATGAAGTAATATTGCACGTGCTTAGTATACAGTGAAACGCTGATACACGTAATAGAGAAATAAATGAGTGGTTAATTGCTTCCCTGATAGAATCTTTTCCTTCTGGTATGTTGTTATAACACATTTCATCGAAGATTATAATCATTGCATCAGATGGATCAATTGATGAAGTCAATAAAATCACTTGATAAAGAAATGTAGAAATGTAGAGAAATATAGATGAGTATTCTAGAATTTTTTTTTTTTTAATTTTTTAAAAACTTAGGATTATATAGAAGAATAAATTTGAATAATAATCGAAAATATAGGTGACACAGTTTGCCTAAGATGAATGAAGTTATGAAATAAATTATTTCAATTCATGATAAAAAAAATGCTCGTATATATTAATTATGTAATTAGCAACTGAAATAAGTCGAAGAGAATAGTTTCACACGCATTCATTATAAAGAGAGGGGACAAAGTAGAAATGAGGCGGAAGATATGCAATTAAATTGTTGCAAAACCACTGCGAATAAGCGACACATACGCACAATAAAATATTCTTCGAGCAATTACACCTCGTTTCAAGCACTCCCCCTTATTCTTTTATTTTTCTAATTGCCTTTCATTGTAATGATTTACTTTTACTTTTGTAATATTTAATCCTGACTATTCTTTAGCTATGCTAAAATAAATATGTTTAAAATATTATTTATTGAAAAAAATATATCAAAACTTTCTTCTGGTAAAATCATATATTGTTTAAATTAATGATAAGTATCATTAAATCTATATGGTAAAATGTGTTATTGGATTTGAAAAAGTTTAACAATTACTATCACTTATAACATATGTTCTAAGATACTGTGTTTATGCAATTCTTTAGTCTCTAATTAAGAAAAGAGATGTTCATGAATGTTGCATTGCACATCTGTCGACTACTTAAACACAAATTCAGCTATATATCAATTTGAAACACGCTAATAGTTCATTATATTCGCATCATGAATTGTGTTTCATATTGAGTTGACACGTTGTTTCATATAGAACAGGAAATGCAATCCCAATAATGATTTTTCTGTAATTCATTGTGATTGCATAAATGGAAATAGATGGCTCAAGTAGGAAGATATCTATTTTTCAATAAACAAAGATGATGTTTATAAAGGATTGACTAATTAAATATTTGTTTCATTCATGTAACTCAATTTCTTCTTCTGTTCTTAATAATTTTTTTTTAATGTTCTTTTTCTGCAAAACAAATATCCTATTTTTCTATTGTTCCACTTTTTTTATACTTTATTATAAGATTTTTTTCTATGATTTCTTATTAAAAAACATTTTTATAAAAATTTATATTTTTTAACATTAGTTGATATTTTTTATTACAGATAGCAATAATTTGTATGGCAATAGTCCACGTAATATGCGACCTACCACCTGGGACAAGACGTAATACATATCTGCCTCCTGAACCAACTAAGGGTTACAATTATGAAACGCCTTCGATAGTATTTTCAAAATCAACAATTCCATTTAGTACTACACCATCCAGTCATACATATCCTAAACCAACCACAAAATTTCCGACATCGAGACCTTTCAATGGTTATCCACCTCCTACTAAACCTACTCCAGAATTTCCTGACTCAACCAGACCTACTGGAACTACGATACCAAATAATGGTGGTGTAAGTAATAAAAGAAATCATTTTACAAAATTATGATAGAAATGAATAATTGACAATATATTAAATATATTTATATTTAATATTTTCTATATAGAAATATTTTCTTCATTTTCTTTGTATCTAATATTTACTTCTTACAGTCATATTTATAATTAAAACTTCATAAAATCAGTCTCATGATTTTATTTTATCCTTAATTGAGCTATTGTCATTCATAATTTTTATAATTTAATTTCAGCACGATCATCATCATCATGAACCAGGCATGCCATTTGACTTCAACTATGCAGTGAAGGAAGACGCCTTTGGAAACGATTATTCCCACAACGCTATAAGCGACGGTGACATCGTCCGCGGGGAATATAGAGTTCAACTTCCTGATGGAAGATTGCAGATTGTCCGCTATACCGCCGATTGGAAACATGGGTTTAGCGCGCAGGTTTCCTATGATGGAAATCCACGTTTCGACGTCTCTCGACCGCCCGGCAATTTTGCAGGCTATTAAGTTATTAATGTCCAGTTTATGGTTGCGAACCATGTTAAAATGTTTGTCTTGCGGTTTTTATTGTTGGTTTCCACGCCTCTGTGTTGTCTCTACGCCTCCATTGAGCGTTGGATCGTTCGTTTTCAGCATATCGAGTCAATCGTGCCAAAAAAAAAGTTATTATGTGCATAATTTTTTTAATAATTTTAATAATTTTTTTTTTAAATTTTGCGAATATTTTTTAATAAAAAAAAAACTTTTTGACCAAAAATCTAAAAATCAATCGAGAGATATTTACTATATTTATTATTATGAATTTGATTTTCTTTCTATCATATTTTGATTCGGTGGATTTATTTTGATTAACTCAATTTGTTGAACGATAACTGATTGTGAGATTATTATTCTTTATCTTGTCCTTTTTTTGAGGTCGCTAGTATCGTCAAAGTGGTTCTAGGAAAAGTGGCACCACTTGAATATGCAGATATTTTTTGAGAGAATTTTCAAAATTTTTTTTTAATGTCAAATATGTAATTTTAATTTTATTGATAATTTATAATATCTTTAATTAAAAATTTTAAATTGCTAGGATGAAGAATAATTCTGCAAATTATGATATCATTTTTATGGTATCTATAATTTTATATTAAATTTTATAATAAAATATGAATGAAAAATATTATTTTTGCGACCAAAAATGGTTCAATACCAACTGGTACTTATTCGATATCCTTAGCCATTGCAAAATCTAGATCTAAATAAAAAAAAGACCTTAGGCCAGAGTATATTTTATATTCTCCAATTATAGATGTATCCAATGGACATGGATACACATATAGGAGAAAAAAAATAAAAAAGTTTTATAAAGTCAAGGTGTACTTCTCTTTAAAACATGAAGTAGCTAAGGACTAACTTGTAGTAATAACAATTTGTTTTAAGAATGCTGATGAAACAGTACTAACCCTTTGCTATCACGTATGGCTACTTTGTTTGTAAAGATTTTATAAATTGTACGATAATTTACAAAGTAAAAAATATGAATGATGTTATATAAAATTATTTGAACATATTTCTTATCATTAATTGATAGGAAGGATGAAAGTGATGTATAGAAATTTAAAGATTTTAATAAATACACCAAATGATTTGATAATAAAAATGTATATGCTTTTTAATATATTTATGTATTTCTGGTTATTCTTATATAAATATATTATATATTATATATTTCTTTTTGTAAAAAATTTATAATTATATCTTGTCATTTTAATTAAATACATTTTTTAATATATATTTTCTATATTCTATAATATATAAATTAAAATGATAGATTAATTATAAAGAATAATTTGTTGCGGTAGTTTGTTACCATGGTTAAATTGATCGTTGCGCATGTGCATTCATGATTCTTTGTAGAATAAGTGCAAAGTAGTAATATCTTTTACAATCTCAACAGTTTAACATTTTGTATTGAAACTTTAATAAATTTATTTATTTAGAAAAATATAAAATTAAATAATTATAAATAATAAAATTATAAAATTATAAATAAAATTATTAGTAAAGTTTGATCGAGAATATAGTTTCTTAATAAAGGAAAAATGAAATGAAACAAAAAATAAAAGTGAATGAAAATAATTTCTGAGCAAATTTAATTTTGATTTAAATAGTTATAAAGAAAAAAAGATTAAAATTTTGTTCAAAATGACTTTACCATTGTCAAGAATAGATTATGCAACTGTGGGTGTCACATCCAGAGGAACCACCAAAATCTTTCCTACAACAGAACATAGACATACACAAAAATTTGCTGTTGCTGATCATGATGGTATACTTTATGTTTATGGTAAATTACAATTTTTTTATATTCAAAATAAAATCTGAATCTTTTAAGCATAAATTTAATTTTATAAACATTTCTTCATTTTTTTATTTTTTTACATTTTCAAATAAATTGAAATTACATTATTTTTCAATAAGGTATGAAAAAAGGAGAATTACAACTATCATTTAAATCTTTGCCAGGAGTAAAGATTAATAAATTAGTCCTTGGTGGTAGTGGATATGATAAAATTTATATTGCACAAGGAAACACTGTAAAAGGATACACTAAGAAAGGAAAATTATTCTTAGAGTTTGATACAAATCTTATAGATCCTATTTCGGCATTGTAAGTAAGTTCTCCGATATAATTCGAAAATAATTATTAATATTAAATAATAAATACCAAAACTAAAAATTTTATATAAATTTTATATATAAAATTTCAAATAAAAGTATTAGAAAATATTAGAATTTTTTTATAGATATGTACTTGGTCCAGATTTAGCAGCATGTGCGAGAGATCTCTATCATAGATACCATGATTGTAAGGATGCTGATTCTTATTTAGCTGGTGAAATCTTATACGATGTTGTACTTTTACCTGCTGAAGGCTCTATTATTTTTGCTATATTGGCTTGTGGGGATTGTGCTGTAAAAATATTAAATTAATATTTATAGTATTAAAAAAAAATTCCAAATATTAAATTTAATTTTCAAATTAAATTTTAATAAAGTTAATTCTTTTCAGATAAGAGTTCTTCATGGTACCAAGACTCCAGCAATTCTTAGATTACCAAATATACCTACAGTATTATCCATATACAGGTTTCTAAATTTTTTAAATTGTTTTTATTATTTTGTTTAGTTTCTAAATATTCTTTTAGTATTTTTATAGAGAAGGCAATGTTGAATCTAAAGAACGAGTTTTGGTTGGAACTATGGATGGAAAAGTGGGTTTACTGATTCTTCAGGGTAACAAAACATTAAGGATCACTTGGCTTTTAAACATGAATGGATCAGAAATTACTTCTTTAGATACTTATGAATTACAAGATGGTCTAGATATACTTATTGGCAGACAGGATGGTACTGTTGAAGTATATACCTTTCCAGAAGAGGATACTTTAGCTTCACTTCGTTATCGTTATGTAAAAGCATTATATTTAAACATTTTGTATATTTGGAATTTTTTGTATATTTTTTAAACTTTCTAATATTATTCTCATGTCTAAAATTTTTTTTAAAAAATTTATTTATAGAATGCCAGTGAAAGTATCAGTTCAGTGATAGGAGGAATAATTGGAGCAGCAGGATTTCCTGAAGTGTTGGTTACTACATATTCAGGACGAATATTTGGCTTAACTACTAAACCACCAGGACTTCTGGAAGCCGATCAAAATGACGGTTTGACGAAATTGAGATTAGAAATACAACAATTACAAGAAAAGCTTAATGAAGAGAAAGAAGCAGCTATTTTTTCATCAGATCCTTTAGCACCATTGATTCTGTCTGTAAATTATAGGTATAAAATTAATATAAATTAAATAAACTGAAATCATATAGTATTATATATTATATGATACAATTAAATTTTAAAATGTAAATTGTAATCTAATTCTTACAGAATGATCTTGAATAGAGAAGATGTATCATATTCCCTTTCTATAGAACTCGATACGCCGATTGATAATATTTTAATACAATCAGATACTCCAATCGAGTTATTGGACGTGGAAAATAATAGTGCAGTAGTTAGTTTGTCAATGTGTAATCCTAAAGAAGGAAATTTCGTTCTTGCTACCTATCGTTGCCAAGTGAATATAAATTAAAATAATTAAAATTAAAATATCTAATATTTCAATTATTACAATACACTATAAATATAATAATACAGATCATTTTTATAGGTAAATACTAATCATCTTGAAATGAGGCTACGGACTATCGAAGGACAACCTGGTACTTTACAGATTTATGTCACTTCTCAAGTATGTCATCAATTTATATTCATTTCATATTTTTTGAAATATAAGATGATGTATAAAATGTAATTAATTCTTTGTATAGGTACAACCAAAGTGTTGTCGTAAAATATCGATACCTATATCCGCTCTTTCTCTTCACGTAAGACAGCATGAAATGGAAGACACAAAATCTCATAATGAAGGACCATTTAATGAATTAAAATTAATTGGAAATTTTACTGTTGCAGAAGTAAAATTCTAAATTAATTATATTCGATTGTAACTGAGAAATATTCTGTATAATATATATTTCAGATGCATGCTTGGCTTTCTTTTATTTTACCTGATATTCCTGAAAGGCCTCATTTGGAAGAAGGTGAAGCTACATTGATATATATTTCAGCTTTCATTGGGACATTACTTAAATGCAAATACAAGTAAGTTTTACTACATGAACTTTACTACTATTGAACTTTATGCATTAATATCTTTTTAATTCTCAGGAAAGGAAGTGCAATTTTTTTTGGAGAAAATATATCAAGTATTATAATTCTTAGAGATATATTAACTAGGGAGGCAACGAAGAGAAAAATCAAATTAGACGTCTATTGTGGTATATTACATTTATGTTACAATCATTTCTATTTCTCTATTAAATTTTTTTTATTTAATATTTCTTACAGATGTTACTGAGAGTAGCATATCCAGAGTGTTGGAATTAATTCTTCCACAATTGAATACTGCATACGATTTAGTAACAAATGTGAAAATTTTAAATATTCTCGAGGAATTGGAATTAAAAGAAAATTTGAAAGAAAATCTTTGCACAGAATATCAGGAATTGATACAAAAGGAGACAGAGATTAGGTTTCGATTGGCGAAAGATAATGAAATATTGGAGAGATTACATGCAGTGATCACGGATCTCTATGTCGATTGGGAGAGAGCTAAACGTTCTCGTAGGTATGTATTAATAAATATATATATTAATATTAACAATTTTAGTTAACAAAATTTTGTACTTTTATCTTTCGAAGAATATAATATTCCTCATTTTCTCAACATTTTTATTCAATGGAATAGATTTAATAAAACATTTTTTTATTTAATAGAATCAATCTATCAGTTAGAATATCAATTTATTATTAGTAGTATTTTTTTTTTTTTGTTTAATTATGTGATGTCTTATAAATTACAGCAAAATTTCTATAAAAACAAAATGTACAATACATACAACAATGACAAAATGAATTAACATAAAATTTTGTTTAAGTCTTCTGTCAATTACTTGGTTAACAATAGAATTGAAAGACAGATTAGGTGTATTAGAAATTAAATTTGAATTTTTTTGTCAAAAAAATTTTAAATAAATTGCATTATTTTCTGAATACATTTTATGCGTTTCAGAATTAGTAGCAAAGACGCTGCAGATAAACTTAGCGCAGCTCTCAAATCTAGAGAATTGGTTCAACTTTTACAAGTTTTTACTGATACAAGTAATACGGTGCCCGCACCATCTTCGATATCTTCGATGATCTAAAGACTGAGCTACGAACATCTTATTTCTTTTGCTTCGTGGAAAATGCAATAAAAATGGACCACAGTATTTCTATAAATGTCTTCACGTAAAAAATATATTTTTTCAACGACGATTCGCGATATAAATGACTAACTTATCTAGATTTTAAAAATGTACATGTACAATATTATCTTGATTATCATTAATTATATAATACAATATATACGTGTTTTATATTTAACCGTGTACGTGTATATGTGCATGCATTTATCCATATGTATATATATACACACCTTTAACTAATTAAATTGATATAATCTTTTTTTAGAAATTTGCCCCTATATAGTTATACTTTTCCAAGTTCTCTGCTGAAAACAGTCTTAAGAATAATATTTTAAGCGTTACATTTGTAACATTCCCTTAAAAAGTAATTTGCAGAAATACTGGAAAGTATATTTATGCACATTGCATAGGCAGTGCGTTGTCATATATAGCACTTTCAATTCAGTCATTCAGGACAAAAATCTTGAATTCCACAAATGTCATTTTTGTGCGAAAGATTTTTTATCCTTTTGTTATGAAAACAATGTTCCATTTTATTTCCAACAAATATTACATGAAGAAATACTGCCTGTAAAAATAAAAGTGTAATAAAGTATGTAAGTATTTTTTTGATACACTATAATAATTTGAAACAATATTCAGACAAGAAGTTGAATTAAAAATAAAAATAAAATAATTACTTATAAAAAATATTCAAATACTATAGTATTGTTGCAACTTAAATACAATAAAATAAACTGAAGTAAATAAACTTACATATTATCGGTTGTACGAACGACTGCTTCTAATGGATCTCTATCAGAGTTTGTGTCTGGAGCTGCAGTTACTGTATATTCTAAAGTTTGTCCTCCTGCATGCGGTAGGATACTTTCAGGGTTATCATCTGGAGGTACAATTTCTACAACCCCCGTTGGTTCTACTTCGAGTTTTAGATCACGAACCAGATCTTGAATGGTCTTTGCTTGTGAACCTTTATCTTCTTCAATATTTTTTCCTGTTATGACTCTATTCATGGGTCTTTCAGTTCTTCCTCTAGAGTGAGTATGCATGTGCCTTTTCATATCACTTCTTACTCTGAACGGTTTTCCACACACTGCACACTGATGTGGTTTTTCTCCCGTATGTATACGACGATGGTTTTGTAAGTAACTACTTGCCCTGAACGTTTTGTTACAATATTCGCAACGATAATTCTTTTCGCCGGTATGAATTCTTCTATGAACAATCAGTGAGTATTTCCGTGCAAAATCTTTGCCACAATATTCACATTGATACTGTTTCTGTTCTGAATGGATACTGGTCGAGTGGTATTTCAGATCTCCCCATTGTCGGAAATGTCTACCGCATTCCTCACATTTATACGGTTTATCCCCACTATGAAGTCGTTTGTGAACCTAAATTTTGGACAATTGAACTATGTAATTTTAAAAATATATTAAAAACAAAAATTGAATCGAAAATCTTTTACCTTTAACGCACTAGCAGCAAAGAAACTTTTTCCACAAACTTCACACTGATGCGGTCGTTCACCACTATGAGATCGCATATGATACACTAAACTATTTTTATGATGAAACGACCGATCACATTGGGGACATGATAATTCGTCATCTGTGAAAATAAATTAATTTTATTGAAGTATAATTAATAAAAAAAATCTTTGAATATGCTTACTTGTCTTCCTAGTTTTCAGAATCTTTTTTTTCTTTGTTGTTTGTGGAATGTCAGTCTTATCTTTATCATGAATGCCTTGATCATTAACAGTTGATGGTTTTACATGGTCCCTGTGTACATGACTTGTAACATCAGTAATTGTCCATAATGGTGAGTCATTGTTCAATGGAGATTCTGTTTCATCATCTATATGAGCACCTGTCTCTTCCACTGAAAATAAATAAAATAATATTAGTTAATATTTGTATATGATATAGGAATAAAATGATGAAAATAAAGAAAAGACTGTTTCGAATAAGTATAATTACAAATTACGAATTCGAATATTCAAATTTGACTAGTTTTTTTATATTTTTTCTTATTTTTATGTTAATATAATAATTATTATTCTTACCAACACCTCTAATGCCCTCCATAAGATCTTCAGGCTCACTGAATTCTTCAATTACTGTATTTTCGAGATTCTGAACAGATTCCGTCACAGATATCGTGATATTCGTATTAGTTGCTTGTGCTATTCTTGTTTCTTGTTTCACAGGCTCATAATGTACCTTTAAATGCTCAAAAAATTTTAATTGACTACTAAATCTAGAACTACACAGTTCACATTTGAACACATGAGCCTGCATATCACCGGAAGAATCTGCGTTCATGCCATCCGCGTTTATTCTATTGCCATCTTTTCTTGCTGAATTTCTTTTGGTCTGTTGTTTTAATTTACGAGGAATCCTTTTTTTGTGAGGCAAAGATCTTTTTGGTCCGGAACTAGGTGCCGCATCTTCGCTACTTTCAGCTGACATATCAACGTCACACTCACTTTTTACGTTTATATATTCCTGTTTTACATTATGCGTTATACGTTTAAATGTTGGTTGTAATGTTGGATACACAGGAGGAGCATTTGGTTCTGGGACAGTTTGAATAGAATATGTGTTTACAGGTGTTAAAGTCTCTAAATGAGAAACATCTGGTAAAGTTGGATCTTCATGTTGGGCTTGACTATGAAGCTGTTGCTGTTTCTGTTGTTGCTGTAATTGAACAGCAACTAAAGCTGCTGCTAGTCTTCGATCTTCCTATTGCAAAAATACAAGTCAGGTTTTAATATATGATTATTATTATATTGATAACTTGTAGTAAATAAATTACCTCTGTTAATTCATGTTGTAACAAATCTTCTGCTTCATAATATTGAGTTGCTGTACCATAATCTGTACCAACACCAGCATTAATCATATCAACTACCATCCCTTCAGAGATTAATTCTCCGTTAAGAGTTAAAAGAGGAACACTTTTGCTTAGAGATTCTCCATCAGCCCTTTGAATAGTAATATATTGTGCTCCTTCCATTCCCTCCAGCAGCACTGCTTGTGCTTCTTCTGTTGTGACTTCCATGTTTATCTACTTTAGCTGCTGATGGAATGAAAAAATTTCTTCTACAATTATTTTTTTGCCATCTGTAAAAGCTAGCTTTTAGTGACTGTAAAAAAAAGAATAAATTTTTAAATAATAATATGAATAATAATAATAATAGTAATAATATATAAATAAATTGTTCCTTTAATAAGAAATTATTTCTAATAATATATACAATATAATATATAATAATTTTTATAGAAATAATATATTTACAAAAGATCAACAAAATAAATAAATAAATTCTATGTCGTAAAACAATTTCATTAAAAAAAATATAATAATATCGAATTAATATAATTAAATAAATTTTAACATATCTATTGATCTATTTAAAAAATGTAAATCGAGCAAATTTAAATTTCGCGCGCTTATGCATTACAGAAATGACAGCGGAATCAAGGTCACTACACCCGGAGCTCTCGGAAAATTTTACTCAGATTTTGATTTGCGTTTTAACCGAAAAATTAGCCTCCTTTAACTTCTCTGTACCAACCTTCACAAGTCTGCGCAGATTTTTCGTCTCCTTCTTGGAAAACTTGACCGACATAAACAAAGCAAAATATTGAAACACTGTAGGACAAAATGTGACAACAGTGCTTGGGTCTTGACGCCATTAGAACGGATGTACCCTTCCCCAGCTGCCTACACGAATCTTTCACCAATACCAATATTATCTACCAAAAAACACTAACAATTTTTCTTATTCTAATGTATCTTACCTGATAATTTCAATTTATCATTCTCATCAGTAATCATTTTTTTTATTATTTATATGAATGTAATAAATGAATTTTATATAATAGTTCTAACTTTATAACCTAAAATCAAATACATAGGTTCATTTCAAATCTAAATATCATCTGTCAGAAATTCTTTATTTTCGGAGATTGAGTTTAATTGCCATTCAACAAATAAAACTCAAAAAAAGTCGAAATTATATCAATCGTTTATGCAATCGATCACTATAAAAAAAGTGTATTGTTTTGAATATAATTTCGTTTGATAAAGCTTGTAATCAACATAGTATAAATTGAATAATAATTTAATAATTAATCATTGAAATCATGAGAATATCGTATTCTTTTGAAGGAATCTTTGTATTCATGAAAATAATTAATTTAAATTTAGAAAATGTGTTTTTTTTTAACAATTTTACAGATCGAGAATTGGTCTTAGTACATTTATAAGATTCTAATCAATGTAAAAGAATTGAAATTGATATAAACGCGGTTTCTGAATCGCGTAATATAAAGCGAGAGGGTTAAAAGGCGGTTTCCCTCCTTCCTACTGTCATCATCAGCTGACTTGTCGGTTTATCGTTGATTCATCGTGTCTAATAAGGTTGTTATTACTTTATTAACATTGTGCTACGCCATTTGCCATGTTTATATGATTGTTTAATAGATTATTATAAGATTATAATCATGTAAAATAATGAAATCTTTTGATTTTTTTTTTAATTTTCGATATAAATGTCAAATTTTTAAGTGCTTAAATAATACGTTAATTTATTCTCTCTGTCAAGGGTCACTAGTTAGGTTTATCATAACCTAATTTACATTCTGATATGAAGCAAGAAAATAGTGTTATATTATGTAAAATTATTTGTTGTTTGTGATTTTCCAGAGGTTCCTGTGAATTGACTGAACAAATTATGTGACATTCTCTTAAATTTCTGAAAAGTGATGGCTTCTATTTGTCGCCGCTGGAGATTATGGATTTTACCAGTTCTAACTTGTCTCTATGCACTTCTTATCATAATCTTAGTACCAATTCTATTGGCAAATTCCATTAAAAATGGTTTTAAAAAGCAGGATCAAGGAGCACTTGTGGGTGGTGCTTTTGTGCTGCTTGCTTTACCCATTGCTTTCTATGAAATTGTGCAACACATGATATATTATACACAGCCTAGACTGCAAAAATATATTATAAGGTATGTTGATATCATTTACCTTTAAAATTATTGTTGATGTGTTATATTATTGTTTTTGTTGATATTTAATATTAGATATTGTTTGTATTTTTAAAATTGTCAATTTTAAAGATCAATTTTAAATAAACAAAATCGTTATAAACAATAATAAAATGATTCATTAAAATTTATTTGTAGTAAAAATATTAAAAAGATACTTAAAATATTTTGAAATTAGGAATGAATGAAATTCATTTAAAAAAAAATCTTAATTGCATTATAATTTTCTAATAATAATTTATAGTATAGATAATTAATTATAAATATTAATTATTAATTATTAAATTTTTTACTAATCTACTATCATAATAATATAATATCATACTACTGTCAAAATAAATTATATATTCTATGTGAAATATAGAATACTATATTTATTAAAATATGTAATAGATACTGTTTAGTATGTAAAATTTTTTTAATTTTATTATTTTTGAATATTAAATAAAACATTTGTTTATATTGTTAAACAATTATATTGTTATTTGCATTAATTATTAATTTTTATTAAATTTTTCGTACTCATGCAAATAATGTATATTTACGAATTTATATAAATTTGCATATTAATTATTATTGTATTATATATATGTACTAATATATATGTAAAGATATTCTTTCAATTTCTAATTTTTTATAAATTTTTAAGATTAAAGAATTATTGATTGTAATATTGATTGACCTTCAACAAATTAAAGGTCAAGAAATATTGATATAAATAGAGACAGCATTTACTTCTTATTCAAGCTATAAATTTTTTATTTCAAAAAGTTATTAAAAAGTTAACTAAATTTTATATTAGAATTACTTACTAATGTTAAAATAATATCGAATAATGCCCAATATATAATATTGAATATAATGAATAATATTTAATACATATACTATTTATTAAATTTATTCAATGGTGTCAATGAACTTTTCATTGAAAAAAAAATTATAATTACATGTATTTAATTACAATATTACACAGTTTAAATCAATCAAAGAAATATGATACGATTATAGCATAACGATAAAACGAATCAAAGTTCACATATGCATTTAAAAACTTTAATTTTAATGTGTATTAAATATTTTATGAAGATTTTATTTTATTTTATTGAATATTTATTAAAAATTGAATTTTTTCTTTAATTAATTTATATCACTTTTTAAAATCTTTTAAATATCCTTTTTTTATATGTTCTCTTTATATTAATACTTTTTATATTCTCAATAATAATATCTATAATTTTTAAATATTAATCAATCAAATTTTTTTCTTTATCAGTTCAAATAATTGTCTATTATTTCATGTTTTTTATATTGATATCGATTTAATCGTCATATATCGAATATTTTAATTATTTTATTATATAACTCTTAAATTTAAAACTAATCAATTTTCTTTATTTCAGAATATTATGGATGGTACCAATTTATGCAGTGAATGCTGTAGGTATACATCTCCATTCTTGTCTAAATTGTCTATTAAGTACTTCATTTGTTTTAAATTGAAATACTTTTGAAATTTATGCAGTGGCTTGGACTGGTTTATCCAGAAGGCAGTATATATGTTGACAGTTTGAGAGAGTGTTATGAGGCATATGTAATATACAATTTTATGATGTATTTATTGGCCTACTTGGATGCTGATCGTCAGCTAGAACACAGACTTGAAATCTCTCCTCAAGTTCATCACATGTTTCCCCTGTGTTGTTTACCTGATTGGGAAATGGGCAGGGAATTTGTACATATGTGCAAGCACGGAATATTACAATATACTGCAGTTAGGCCTATAACAACTTTGATATCTTTGTATGTATCGTATACATCGTAAGATATCTTACGATGGGTAATACTCCTTGTTGGAAATATTTTTGATTGAAATTTTTTAAGTGAAAAAAAAATTAGTAAAAAAAAATGAGCGAAATTTTCTTTTCTTAAAAAATTCAAAGTTTTGTTTTAGATTAGTTAAGAGATCAAATTGAAAAATCTTTAAATTCATGTATATTCAATCGGTAGATAACAATTTTAATTTTTATTTTTTCAAAAACATTTAAATAAAAGAATTTTATTTTACTTTTTAATTTACTTTTATTTATTGAATAATTATTTCTACTCAATTATATACTACTCATTCTGGGATATCCAAATATTCGTTTTTACATTATAAATATACATTATAAGGAATAAAAATATTTTTACGTAAAAAAAATATATATTCTAGTATAGTATATAGTATGTATTCAATTTTAAATATCTAATAATTGATTTTATATATTCAAAATGTATTGCAATTATAAAGTTGTTCATAGTTATTTTTTTCTTTTTAGTATTTGTGAATTAAATGGAGTATATGGTGAAGGTGAATTTAGAACAGACGTAGCTTTCCCATATATGATTGCTTTAAATAATTTATCGCAATTTGTTGCCATGTATTGTTTGGTATTATTTTATCGTGCCAATGCGGAAGCTTTAAAACCAATGAAACCAATCGGGAAATTTTTGTGTATCAAAGCAGTCGTTTTCTTCTCTTTCTTGTAAGTTTCATTATTTAAAAATTATATAATTATATATAATAAAATATATAAAATATAATAATATATAAATAAATTAAAAAAAAATACATAATTCGATTTTCAGTCAAGGTGTAATTATTGCATTACTGGTATATTTCAATGTGATATCAAGTATTTTTAATACGAACGATATAAAAGACATTAGAAATATATCGTCGAAATTGCAAGATTTTTTAATCTGTATCGAAATGTTCATGGCTGCAGTGGCTCACCATTACAGCTTTTCATACAAACCTTTTGTAAATTTAGCACAGGGTCAAGCATGGTGGGACGCATTCAGGTAAATCAAATATTTTATTACTTCTCTTCCATATTTTTTACAATTTTTAATAAGTTTATTCTTTCATTATTTCAAGTGATTATAATTATTTGTCGCTAAAAAATTTAATTAATTTTAAAAAATTCTAATATTTTAAGAAATAAAAATTTATTATTTTTTGATTGTATCTATAAAAAAATATACTTTACGTGTTCAGGGCTATGTGGGATGTTTCCGACGTTCACAATGATATAAAAGAACACTTGGGAGTAGTAGGATCCTCGTTAAGTCGTAGAATACGTGGTCGAAGCGCTTATCAACAGGCCTGGGGAAGTGCAACGGAACGCACTTCTCTACTTCCAGAAGCTTCGGTAACCACAGCTAGAAGTGCACCTGCATGTTCTTTTTCTGGTTATAATACAGCAGAGATGGAACAAAATGATGGCACTATTGACCTAATCCCAGATGTGCAGGATACAAGTAACGCGGTGAAGACATAAGACAATTTTTTTTTTTTTTTTTACAGAAAAGAATCAAGGGCACACTTTAAGATTGCTCCGTACTGCTAGTATTATATTTAACTCTGTTATATGGATTGTTTTTTACTAAATAGTATTTTTTTATCTAATTTTTTTAAGCTTAAGAAAAATATAAAATAATCGTTAATGTATACATATGTATTATTTTTCGCTTCAATTTTATGTGCTGAGCTTTCTTAAAGTATTAAAAAGTTTCTTTTTTAATTGAAGTGAAAGTAAAATTGGAATATTAAAAATTCCAAAATTGTAACAAAATTCAGAAAAAAAGAAGAAAAAGAAAAGAAGAATCTAATTTTACAAATGAGCATTTCTCCTTTTTACTATACAAGTTTCTCATTATTCTAATTATTGGACAATATGCTCATTTTTTCTCAGATATAACAAGTCAACGTCATAAAATATAAAAATATAAAATATTAAAAGATTTGATACATGATGATGTTGCAATGCGAAAGATGGAAATATGGTTTATTTCGTCCATTTACGAAAACGCTTTTTCCTCTTTGATTTGCAGCCAATTGCGCGTTACCAATGATGTATTACCAAATAATTGTACATATATATATATATATACATACATATAATGTTTATACTTAGAACAATATATCGGTACAGTCCTTATTTATAAACGTGTTACGCTATTTATTGCTGGTTTATCGACCCCAATAAGTGTATCACGGAGTTAGGCATTATTCAATTTTGACCCTGCAATATAAATACTATTCTATAATGTATTTCAATCATAAAAATAAGTATAAAATTGAGTTATAATTTTTTTAATCATTTAATACGATAAATGGAGCATTAGACTCCAATAATGGAATGCCGTTCGTTAGAAAGTTTTAATGTAAGAAGTACAAATGATAAAAAAACTGTGATACAACATTGATTTCGTAAAATTATACAAAATTATATTATTCTTGAGAAACATAAATAATAGAAATCTATCATCACTTACAATGAAGTTATTGGAGAATGAGATGTTCCATTTTAGTATTCCAGGGTTAATTATTATAATCATTCGTACTGCTTATTGGATAGAATCCTGCCTAACTCTGAATGAGTGTACCGTAAATAATGAGGAGAGAAACATTCCTGCCAAATGTATGTATATTTAATTTTATATCGACTGCGATGGCTGAAAAATATAATATGGTAGCTCATGTTTTTTGATGAAGTGAAGTACTCAAATACATATGATATTAATATGCAATTGATGACAGGCAGAAATGAAAAATATAAATTTATTGAAATTGTATCGCTGATGCGTTTGCATAATTAAAAACAACATAATTAATAATCATCGTAAAAGATGATTAATAAAACGATAATTTAATTTCGAAATTTTTTCCTAATAATAAAAGAATTTTATAAGTGTTTTCATAATATAATCTTGTGAATTTTCGTGAGAAAATTATACTTCAGCATAAAGAAGCGTCACGAACTTGAACATTTTGTCAGACGTTCGGACCAGAGAATAAGGTATATTTTATCTCGAATCTAATATTCTAGATTTTTAAAAAGAATCAATTTAGAATGACGCAAAGTAGTTTTCCGATTGACCTAGCAATTTACATCGTCAATTAAAAAAGAAAATAATATTTTTAATATGTTTCTACCATGTTATTTATAACTTTGTGATATATTTGAAACCATTATAATCTCTATTATTATTAATTAACGAAAAATAGAGATAAATCTCGACGTGAAACACATTGTATTCATGAGAACAAAAATTAGGCATAGAACATGTATTTTAATAATCTCTAGTTACTTTTGTACAAATGCACATTTTCAATTCTATAAGTACTTAAAAAATTATTCTATTGAATATTTTAATGGTCTTTTTCAGAGAACTAAATAAAAAAACTACTCAAAATCAATATTATAAAAGAAATATATATATTAAAAAAATTATTTTATCATTAAATATTTTCGGTTATCGATATTAATTTAAGCAAAATCTTATATCTTAAAAATGAAAAAAAAATATATATATATATTGTGACTACTTCTACTTAAAATAATGTTTGTGGACACCAAAAATTTAGTTTTAATTTCTTTATTTCGTTCTTTATCTATCCATACAAAACGTATGTTCGTTTCATTCGTTCTGTATGCAGAAATGAAATATATATACAAAATGCAATGAAAATTATTTTTCTATAATCATATTAAGAATATCTACACTCCATGTGTCATGTATATCCCATTCAATATTCTGAAGCAATAATTTTTAAATTTTCTCGTGTTGTTCACTTCGATTAATTAATAGCAACTATTAACAATATTTTGCATTTGTGTTTGGACAAAAATATTTGTGAACAAAATTTAGTGAACGAAATGAAAATATAGTGTAAATCACGATCATGTAATCGGCTATAATTTTCATAATAATAATCGAACTATAATTTCATGTATCAAATCACATCTTTTAAATATATAACAGTTCCACATCTCATAAAATCTGACTAGTAGTCTTCTACATTATCGCTTAATTAACGAAAAAATAAATTAATATCTAAGCATTCGCGCATTACAGCCACCAGGGCTTATTATCACTTATTACATACCACAGTAGCATGAGTTTAGATTTCTAGATTATAAATTTCTTCATTTTTCTTTATTTAATGCTTGAATGAATTCTTCTAATTTTTCTTGAATTTGTCTGACACGTTCTAAAGTGAAAGAAATAAAATCAAATTAATATCATTATTTAATACAAATTTATATGAAATCTAATATAATTATATTATGATATATATATATATTTTTAATGAACTTACTTAATTCCTCAGCTAATGTGACACGTCTACCAGTCAATAATTTTTGTTTTATTTCGCTGTCTTGACTGTAATCTTCTAATACCTCCTTTATTTCTTTATCTAATCTACGAGCTTCTCGATTCATAATTTGTTGTCGAAGTGCATTAGCTGTAACCTTAAGCATTTGTTGAATTCTCCAAAATAAAACAACATCATTGCATTCCATCTAAAAAGAAATAACAAATAATTTTAAAAAATGAAAATGATTATTTAATAAATTTATTTAATTAAAAAAATTTAAAAATTTTTCTATCATTGTATTATTAAGCATACTTACTTCACTTTCATGTCCAGTATGATAAAGATAATATCCCTTTTTACAATCATATGCTCTAGCTAAACTTTGTTGCAAGAAAAATCTTCTGTACACCGGATGCCATGTTTCTCGAATAAATTCATTATCGATTTCCAAACCATTTCGTTGCACGTTTTTTCTAATGGTTGTGAGTTCATCTTGAGTGAGGGTAGGAGTATGTTTCTATATAAAAGTATATAAATTGTTTTTTTTTTTATTATTATTATTTAAAATAACTTATATCTTCTTACTTACTTTATCTGCATAGAGAATTTTATCTAATTCATTCTTCACTGCTACGCGTTTCTGTTGTTCTTCACTTTGATTTTGCCAGTACAGCCATCGTTCCTTGCGACCTGGACCTAGCATATCTCGTAAAATTTGTTCTGTAGCTTGCAATTTCTCTTTAACTGAAGTTTCTAGAAAACGGACTGCTTGATCCCAATCACGTTTATCATTTACACTTCTATCCTCTAAAGTATTTAGTTGAATAACTCGTAACATTTCAGATGCCTAATAAAAAATTTTTCATATGCAATCAAATAGAAAAAAAAAGAAGATAAATATTTGAAGAACTGAAAATAGATATGTAAGTCTAGAAAATAAAACTAAATTATAATTTCATATTATTTTAAATTAATTGTTATAAATTATTTCAAATTAAAATCAATCTAATATCAAAGAATACAAAAATGTATGAAGAAAACTATTTTTTTTTAAATATTAATTTTTAAATATAAACTTCTCAAAATAATTTTCATTATAATTATGTCAACTATTTATTTAATAAACTCACTTTTTCTTCCCAAAAATGTCGTCTCATAGCTTCACTGACTACTGCATTTTTTAAATTATCGAAAATATCATCATGATCAGGACTGAGTTTTGCTTGGTTCATAAAATGTTGAAATTCTTGTTGTAAACATTCCCAACCGCTTTCGACACTTCGAGCTGGCAATTGTTGTTCAGCCCATTGACGAAGTTTTATATCAACGGTAGTATTAAATGTGCCTATATAATAAAAAAAAATAATTATAATAGTAATTATAATAGTAATTACTCATAAGGTAAAATTATATAAAATTATTGTGAAATATACTTGGACTTCCGCTTTGAGCCGCGGGTAGATAGATGTTTTCAAATACATGCATGCTAACTTTGTCCCAAATTCTAACCATTAGCACTTCTTCCCAGTGTCTAGGCGAAACTTGAGACAGATTTACAATTTCATCCAAGATTTCTCCTCTTGCTTTTTCAAAAAGTTCATCTCTATCCAATTCTCTTAATCTGTGCAAAATAAAGTAATAATATAATATTTAAAATACGAAATTCCATTAAACTAAATGGTTGTTCACCTTGGGAAATTATTTTTCCATTCCGTTTCAAGATTAAATCTGGTAGCTTTAAATGCATCTGCTTGTTGTTCTACAGTTTCACGAACCATCTTCCAAAAACATTCTGCAACTGCAAGACTCAAGTTTCTCGTCGTAACTTGACCAGACATTACTAAACCATCTCTGATAAAAATCATAAAAATTTATATTATTTTTAAAAGTGATTAATTCAATTATATTTTTGAAAGATAATATAACACAATACATTCGATAAAATAGAGCTTAAAAAAATAATGAATTTACAAATTAAAAAAAATGAATTATTTGAAAATTATTATACAATTTTAATTTTTAGCAAATCAAATTATTAATAATGATTAATATTTTTTATCATGACTGTTCTTGAAAAACGTTCATTTTTTTGTTATATTTATATGAAAATATTGTGATATGACTCATCCTAATCACTAAGAATTATTTAATGTTATCAGAATTATTAATATCAATCATAAAATTAAAAAATAAAATTATATATAAATATATAAATCTAATATAATTATTTATTCATGTTAAATTACATACTTGAAAAGTTTAGAATTTCTGAAGAATTTTTCTTCATAATCTTTGATTGTTTGTATAGTATCATCTTGTCTACCTCGACCAGTAACAACAGCAAAATAACCTAATGCTTTCATAGGAAATAACTTGCCAGATAATATTTTGCGAACACGCTCAGGATTGGCTAAATTTTCTTCTGCTAAATCTACCTA